TCTTTATTAATGTTAGTAATTAACCGTCAGTAAAAAATTATCGGGATTATTTACGACGTGGATTCACTTTGTAATGCAAATTATCTCCATCAAAGAACAAGCTTACATAAGAAGCCGTTTAAGAGGGGCAAATGAAATAATTTCAATCGTCTTTTTGCCTATGGCCATAAATGTAAATTCGTTTCGCGACGAGGACGACGGTATCTTCGGTAGCATAAAGCGTGATGCGTGGGCTCGCATGCCGGGTGTCTATGTATACATTCTCGCGCGTACAATGGACTCGCTGCATCTAAATTAAATTCGAGCAGTATCGCAATGCCATTGTTAAATTCATTGCCGTTTAGAAACTCTACCTCGTACCTACGGAGACAATACGGATCCACGTGGACCGTGAAAGCTCCGATTAAATGAAATTTACGATTCGCATCGAGCTTCAGTACGCTTCAGTACTCCAGTAATGAGCAATCACGATAAGCACGTTTTATATACGGCATCTGTACCTCATTAATAATACCTATCGTGTATTAATAGCGTAAATAAATTTGAAAAACTTAACGTTATCTCAACGCGATACGCTTGCTCACAGCAAAATACGACGCGAACCGGTTTATAAAGAGAATCATGCGAGTAACCCGCCAGAAGTGTCGCATCGCGCCAAAATCTCCATAAGAGATTGATCATAAAAAAATTTATACTCTGACGATTTAGTTGATTGCATAACGGTTCTTAAGGAGTTTCCAAAGACTCAGAACTGGATGTTTTTTTGTGTTTTCTTTTTATTTTTTTTTTATTGATATTGATTCTGCAAAAAACAAATTATCGTTCGTCATGGAGATGAAAATTTACTGACTTGTTTCACGTGAAAAATATTTAAAAAATGGGGGAATTTGTCGAGAACACACGTTGCATTTTGCCGAAAGATCTCTGCAGTCTAAAACCGACGAAACCGACGATTTTATGACCAAGCTGCAACCATCACGGAACATAACTGCGAACGTGTGGTCTTTTTTTTTATTCCGGCCTTGATTTATAGCCCGCGTCGAAACAAAACGAAAGGGCGAAGCGCATCGCTTAAGCAAACTGCATATTAATTAGCTATTTCTGCCGAAACGAACAAGAAAGAAACGAAAATTATAGATCGAGGCGTGCGGACAATTCTCTCGACTAAACTTTTTATTCGTTTTTATATGAGGAGGAGAACGTTATAAGAAAAAATATACAAAAGAAAGCGTATTGTCCGTTATTTAATTGTAGTGAACAGATACGGCGTTAGCCTTGCGTATGATGAGATTGCATCGACTGCATCTTCGAGTGGACAATGTAGTGACCTTGCTGGCGTGGAAAGATAATTGTAGCGCCTCGAGAAGCTTAAATTTGAGGCCACAGCCTACATTCATGATGTAAAAACGACGATAACATCGTGCGGTGCGTAAAATGGCAAAC